TCAGAGCAGATTGAAGCAGGTCTGCAGTGTAACCCGTTGGACCATGGGAGGCCTTATTTAGCACTCTTAGTGGAGCGTTTACTGTGTTGATCCTTCATTTCTCGCCCTTAGCAACCTTTGATGCTTTGGGGCCCAGCTTTTTTCCTTCTGTTGTCTGTACTTTTTTTTCGCGATCTCTGTCATTCCCCTCTCACCCTCCCTCCTTGTCTCTCTACTGCTCTTCCTCACTCTTTGCTCTTCCCTCCCCATGGTCTGTGGAACTAGAGCTACCGGCTGCATGGGAATCAGTTCTATAGAAGTCTTCCACCCCCACTGCAAAGTCTGTTCAAACCGGTCCAACCCCACCCCCCAACTCTGTCTCCCCTTCGACAACCAATAGCATTTCTTCTCCTTTCAATGCATTTATTTGATGTATCCACAGTGAATGTGGAGGCTCGTGAAGAAGTAGGAGGAGCTAGAGAAGCTTTGATAGTTGTGAAGGACTCAGTGTGCGTTTAAAAGATGGGCCAGAAGTGGGACGGACATCCTCCTCTTCCTATAGATCAATGCACCTTTAATGCAGGGACTCAGATTGGTCGTTTTGTGGCATTTCTTGCTCCTCCTCCTCTGTCTCCGTTTCTTTTCCCTTCCTTCAAATTTCTGTTCATCTTTGTCTTTCAGGCTTGACTAATTATCCTTGTTTGTTCCTCTTTATTTGAATCCAGTCATGTGTTCTTGACTCTGTGGGCTGGGTTTGGGAGAATCATTCTGCCATTTGCCACTTAATTAAGTCAGGGTCAGAATGCATTGCTCAGCTGAGAGCTGAAGGGAAGTAGCACTAATAGAATTATAAAAGAGGCCTTTTCTCTACTGTTAAGGCTGCCTTTAGCCCGGCAGGCTCTGCATAGGCAAATGAAAGGAGACACCAGCTCAGGACAGGAACTCATTTCCACTTTAAACTCAGACAGAGGTTTTTGATGTTTGCCCAGCATTCCATACACATCAAAGTGAATCAAAGTTAAACTGTGTTATGCTGCAAGATTACTGGAAGATAGAGGAGGGATGTGGTGACTTTGGTTTGCTTGTATTTAAAAGACATTTTAGTAGGACCTCTCTATTGGCTAAGTAACAGGGGTGTTTAGAACATGCTTTGCTTTGCTTAAAAATTCTGCGTTTGTTGTATTTGTAGGACTTACCAGCAGTTCAATTTCCTGAATGCCCCCCCATGCTGTGTAAATCCACTCTCCTTTCCCCTCTCTGCCTCCCCTGCTACTCTGTCCCAGCACTTTGACATGCTAAATCTGCTGATTTTATTTTTCCTGCTCCTGTGGTGAGGAAGTGTCCTTTTCAAGGGTCTCTGTTCCCCCTGACTGTCCAGACCCTACCTCTGTTTGGATTGTTGCTCTGTTCCACACAAAAGACAGAGGCGGGATCACCATTTTATATCCTCACACATTTTATCCTTTCAACTGCAGCTAGGGGATTTTTACTTACTTTTGGTTCTTTCCCTCCTGATTTTCTGTTGGGTTTAACTTTCTCAAAAAGACAGTGAAATTACTTCATTTAAAGCTCAGTTTCAGCTGTGAATGAGGCCTTTTCCTGCAGCTCTTTAGGCCTGATTTTTTTTTTTTTTTTTTTTGCGAAGGCTAACAAAGTGTCCTCCGGGCTCCTTTCTGAGATGTTGACATCTTCTTAATGGCTTTTCTCTGCCTTTTTTGTTTCACATCTTGGTGCTCACGTTATGCCTCATTTAGCTCATATCAATTCACCAGGCTCTACAGATACAGCATGTTATTCATGGTAGACTTTACTGAAACAAACTGCACACATCAATCCTACTTGTTTGTAACCATATTTATATCTTCAAAAGTTGTAGATATCATCCTAAGACCCACCTACAGTTTTCAGACTCCCGAATTTGTGAACTTGTTTACAAAGAAATCAAAGTGGAGCGCCAGGACAGCCCCTTCCTGTTCTGAGAAGTCCTCTGGCTCTTTAGCCAGTGATTTGCTTAGAGGCTTGTTCTCACATAATAACTAAGTTGGGATTGATGGAGGTCTTACACCATAAAACTCTAAACAACTGCAATTGCCTGCTATTTGAGATGTATTGTTGTTCCCAATAAGGCTTCCTTCTTAAAGGAAAAGCTCTCTTTTAGTGTGATGGACTGAAAGACTTTCTCTTCCACATTATCTTTTCAGGTCCAAACAGAAACTGAACAATTTCCCAATAGGTACCATTTAAAAATTATTTATGAGAGTGATCTAAGCTGCTTTATGGCCCTTTAGTTGTAGTGTTTACCCTTAATCATGTATGGCTTGAGTACAAATACATTTTTAGTTTTTAGTCTTTTTTTTTTCTACTCCTGTATTTTAGAAGGGAGGTCAATTTCTGCAGCACAAATCTTGACAAATGAGTCAAAAAATATGTGCTTTCTGCATTTTCATCATTTTACTCCTGTATTTCCAGCAGAGAAAGCGGACTAAGTAATTGCTATTCCAACCATTACCGAGGAAACACTGAGAAAATGTGTGCTGAGCAGAATAAGATTATTTTAGGCTGATCAGCCTTGATGAAATAAAAAAAAAAAAAAAAATTCTCCCTGGTGAATGCACCATACGACAACTACAATTTCCTGTAGGGAAGTTGTTGCTGAGTGAAGAATGCTCAAAGGTTGCTATTTTCAGTTTCAGAGAGGAGTTTAACATTGAAATTTGAAAAACGACAGAAATGTAAAGAGCTAATGAAAGGGAAACTTCTAGAAAATAACAAGACCTGCTTAATCCAGAGACAAGATGAGGCTTTTAGATAATCACAGGCCTGCACAGAGTTCAGCAAAGTTATTATTTTTATGATCGTGAATGTGCTCTTAATAGTGTCTTAAAACATGTTGTATTTAAAAATGTTGACAGCATTCTTAGAGTGGAGACCTTCCATAGAACATAGGTGGAGATTTTGCTTTAGTAATGCTAGCCATGCTAACTGGGCTAATTGATAGCAAAATAAGAAAAACATGAACTTTTCAAATATTCGTAAAAGCTTGCTTTACAACAAATATGTCACTGCCACTGAAATAAATGATCTTACATCAGGAAGGCCAAGGAAATATTTTTGAATGCTGCTCTTACATCTTATACTAAATCATTAAGCCCAACATTAATCAAAGTATAAACAGGTTTGTAAAAGATAAAAAATAAATGGCCACAAAATTCTGACTGGTGTATATTTAATTATGAAAACGGTGATTGAAGTGAAAATTGCTTAAGATATTAAAGCCATTGTTATCCAGTTCTTAAGAAATATTTTATAAGTAGTCATGCTAAACTCCATGTTGGATTTGCTAACATGGATAAAAAAAGTTTCTGTTGTGACCAGCTTTTTGTTTTTCTTTATTCTTCACCATTTTGTGCTTTTGTAGTTATGCTGGGATCCGTGTTTTTTCTCAACTTTTATGGGAATGAAATAGAGCTTTGTGTGCTCTATAAGAAAATGATACTCCCAATAATAAGAACTTTTGATTTTGCCATTTACTATATTTTTTATAAATCCTAATTTCTTTCTATTTTTATTGTACAGTACTCGTACTTCATTGATGTTGTAATAAAATTTATTTAAAATGATTGCTTAAACTGCAATCTGTGCCCTCCCCCAATCAGTCTAAGGACTGCAGATGGTTGACTTTGGATGCTGCTGGTTTAGATCAAGGCTTATTCATGTATTAGATAGCACAAGTTAAACTCTACAACTTAGAATCTTTGGAAAGATTTAAAATCTGCTCTCCATCAATTTTGACTGATTGATCGGTGTTTGTGCAAAATAAAGGATTCCAGGAATGCTCAGCACAAAAAACAAAAAAAATAATAATCATGCACTATTTTCCTCCCTCAGTGTAGGCTTGTCAAAAACAGTTCAAATTAGTGGTAATAAAGTTATTAGTTGAAATGTTTCGATTTTGGTACTAAAAGCTGAGTTGGTTTTCACCTTTGTTATGATGAATTAGGACTGGATTGAGACAGTCTGTCAGGTTGAACATGCTGCTAAGCCTTGGCCAGTTGATAAAGATTCCCTCGAGAGGCTTGTCAGTCCATCCAGCGCTCCCACTTTAACAGATTCACATAAACCCTCTTCTTTCTGTCACTCACCCGTAGATCCAAACAACAGCCTCTTTCTGCTCCCCTTATCACACCAACTGACAGGGTCACCAGGTTAGCACCACACTGAGCATGCTCAGTTATTCACTTATTGATATTGATTTTCTTTTTCTTCTGTCTGATTTGAACAGTTTGTATGTGGGCGAAGAATGATATTAGGGGTCAAGATGGATAGCGAAAGATAGAATTCTGTGTGTTGATAGAGGACGAAGCCGTCCCTACATCTCCATTCTCCTTCGCAGACTGAAGTAATGGAGCCCCACATCCAACCGTCTCTTTCTGGCTGCCATTCAGCCCCATCGATCTGACTCAGAGCCCAGCCAAACCCAAGGGAGCCCGTGGCTTGGAGACACACTGCTTCTTTTGTGGAAGTGATCCACAGGTTTAGACTGACAGCCGACAGTGCTGATAAAAATATGTCCCCCGCCTTGCTTTATTGTCCACAGCAGACATGCTGTTCAAGATGTGTAACCTTTAGAAATCTGGCCGAGTTGTGGCCGTTATGCCGACGGCTGTAATCAGTAGAAGCTGGAATACTGCCCAAAGCATCATACCCTTTGGCATTCTCTGATCTCACCATCCCATCTCACTGTATTATTACGCAGCATGGTAGGCTGTGATAGTGAAGTCACTTTCTGGTGCCCTAATAATTTAGAAATGTCACAATACTTAAGTGAGTCTCACAGGCCAATTACTATAATGTTTCCCCTGTGTGTCACCAGGCTTCATTTTGTAAATCTCTTTGCCTTTATATCATAGGCTCCAAATGATTTTGTAAGTTCTGTAGCTAAGGTGTGAAATTTGCTGATTGCATGTCCAGCATGTTTCACCCCAGCTGACCTGACGACCATGCTGATTTCTTCTCACCAGGGAGGAGAAGGAACGCTGGATCCGGGCCAAGTATGAGCAGAAGCTATTCCTGGTCGGCCTGCCTCAGTCCGACGTTCCTCTGGGGCAACAGCTGCTCCGGGCTGTGGTTGAGGACGACCTGAGGCTGGTGGTGCTTCTCCTGGCCCATGGCACCAAGGAGGAGGTCAATGAGACTTACGGGGATGGAGATGGACGAACCGCATTGCACCTCTCATGTGCCATGGCCAACGTTGTCATCACACAGCTACTCATCTGGGTAAGTAGGCTCAGCTGAGTTTGGAGGGGAGTGATGTGCCCTCCATTGGATGGCTTTGGGTTCATCATATCCAGATGTGCTTGAGTCCTGTGTGTTTGGTATCTTTTTGGATTGCTGTATAATCAAACACTAAAGAACGAAAACGGGTTACGTATGAGTACATTTCATTTTACAACTTCAGATATACATGTTGATTTTTAAGAACATTGATTTCCTTACTGGAAAAGATATATCTTTCTTACCTTCACCCAAATAACACTGCCATGGTCAATTTTTATTATATTTAATAGATGCTCATGCTTGCCCTTTTAATGCTGCTAGTTTTTAGGTGTTTTTACCTTTGATGAGTATTAATTCTTGGAGTCGGGAAAATAGCAGTACTCACATTTGCCCCATTTACGCTACCCTTTAGAAATCGTGCCAAGAATGGTCCAAGATCAGTAACCGAGGTAACTGTTGATTGTAATTGGAACGCAACTGAACTGGACCGTGCCAGACTCAACTGAACTACGCTAAATCTAGTACTAGTTCAACAGTCGGGCTCGACATGCTTCAGTTATGGTTCGGTTCTCTGACAACAAAGACCGCATGAGCAGGCCGCATCATCTACAATTTACAGTCGGCTAAATAATTTCACTGATTTTCCGGCGTATCTGGCGTTTTAATTCACAGATCTCTTCACCTGTTCACAATACGAACTTCTTCTCAGTCTGCTAACAATAAATGGCTTAAAAAGGAGGTAGTGCGACCTGGGATGATGCCAAGACCGAGGCTCTCAATCAAATATGGACCAAAGACACTATCCAGACACATAGGTTCCTGAATGTTAAGGACGCAGCCTTTTTTGTTTGCGTAATTCCCGCCCTGAGAGCTGTAGTATCATGTACCACTGATAGGAGGCAAGGAACCGTGCTAGAGTAATGTGTAAATGGTGGTAAGAACCAAGCTCAGCACGGTTAACTGATCCAAGCTCGGCATGGATCAGTTTCTGGGGGGGGTGTAAATGGGGCAATATACACCAGTTTCATTTCAGCCTCATTCATGGTCCTTATGAGCGCTACCATAATTAGCTCTATTTCTACCTTCACAGGACAATAAAAAAGTTAAGCATCTAATCAGTTGAATATCAGTTCAATTTACCAGCAACCCTTTAAAAGGATTTCAATTAATTATACTTTTAAAAGTATGCTATAAAATAATAATGGTCCTATGTTACATAAAACTACATAAAGATGTATAAAATCTTTCTGATAGCATGTAGTTTATAGCCCTGATGCGGACACAAGTATTCAGATTATATAAATAAAGAAAATGTAACTTTTGACACTTCTTGTTTAAGAAAACTCTCAAGCTGAATTAGATTGAAAGGATAAAGTTAGCGTTTATTATTTTGGACGGCCTCAGTCTCAGGTCCTTTAAAGCCTCTAACAGGTTTTCTTCAAGGATTGCGTTACACTTAGCTAAAATCCTCCTCTTTTTAATTCTGACATGTTGAATAGAGCGTCCCCACTGCATGACACTGCCACAAACTTGAACACAGTGCATTCAGGAAGTTGTGCATTTTTCTTGTTTTTCTGGAAACAGACTATAAGATCAGCTTATTTTATATGTGAAAACAGTTTCTGCTGCTTCACAGTATTGCATCATTTCTTTTATTGGTTTGTCACATAAAATCCACAAAACCCACATTAAAGGTTTTGGTTATAATGGGACAAAATATCAAGAACATCTGATGGATTTAAGCACTTTTCCAAAGAACTATAAGAAATAAAGCCGAACACTTTCAATTAACTCTGCTTTACACATAAATTAATAAATAAAAATACAGTTTGAGTTGTCAATCAATTTCATTGTTTCTAATTGGTCAGAAAGGATGCTGACTTATACGTTCTTTGACTTAACATTTGTATTGTACTAAAGTTCACAGGGAAGAGAAAACATAAAATCGTTGTTAAAATTCTGAGAAAACGCACATTTTAACATTTATCTTATATAAAAGGTTTAATTTATATATATTTCCTAAAACGACTTAGTCCGACATATCCTGTGTGTCATTTTCTCTGACAGTATGGTGTTGATGTGAAAAGCCGGGATGCCCGGGGCCAAACGCCGCTGTCCTACGCCCGACGAGCTGGGAGCCAGGAGTGCGCCGACATCCTGCTGCAGCACGGCTGCCCCAATGATTCCAGCAGCCTCAGCTCTGTCCCCACGTCCAACGTGAGCCTCCGAAACCCAAACATCAACAACAACAACGCCCAGTGTGAGCTGAACCGCAGCATCAGCATCATGTAGGAGCAGGAGAGAAGCTAGCTGCAGACAACAAACAAAATGACACCCAAACCCGCTCAGCTGTCCTCGTCGTACTTCCTCTGTTCACACTGTGTAAACCCAGAATCAGTACCAATGGAGGGATATCAGGAGTGCTGACGTTACTGGGGATTCTCCACTACGCCTCGAGTTTGGACATTTTACATTGTTTTTATATATTTTTTGTATTTTTGTTTTTTCCACTTGACTTTATTCAGTCTTGGTCTGAAATGATCACGATCAGCTTTAAGATTTATGTTTTTGAAGCCTCAACCAAACAAAGACTTCCTTCTGCATTCATACTTACCCTACAGAGAGCATATCCTTCATGCTTTTACATTTCCTATTATCTCCTCTCCCCTTTTGTAATGTGAACCGAGAAATCTAACGAGCCTAAGTCAGAAAACGCCTTCAAATCGTCAAGTTTAAGCATCAAAACATGAAGTTTGTGCAAGTGAGAAAACACTGATGCAGGGAGAAACTTAATCTCTCATAAGAGCGGCTGTTAAAAGCTTTCACAGTGATGTATGTCTTCAACACAACTTTCATATACAAAAGCAAAGCAATTACGGTTAAAGAGGCCAAATAATTTCGACACTTCATTTACAGGGAAATGGATTTGGATCATCATAGAAAGAGCTGATTTGTGAAATGCTATTGGGTGAGAGTGAGTCATTTTCTGTGGCACAATCCTTCAGTAAACGTTTCTGTGACTATAAAGAAATTAAGGGCCTTGATGTTTTAGGACTATTAAGCTGCACTGCTTTCTAAGTGTGCCTCTTCAATCAAAATCCATTCAGATTCAAAGGTTTGATTGAAACTGTGAACTTTTTGCATTATGATATCTTTGTTAGAGTTATTATTTTTAAGATTGAGTAGCTGGTAACTATTTCGGAGATCCACTCATTTTAACACCACGCTATGTAAGGAGATCCATGCACCTCCTGTTGCTGATAGATGAAAAACTGGTACGCTAGAGATCAAAGCCACTGTTGTTGCTGTGAAATACATAGTTGGTACCGTGTGAGTGCGCGTGTGTTTGATCATATGCTTCAGAGACATTTCCACGGAGAAATCCTAAACATAAAGTAAAGATTTGGGAACATTTTAGGGATTTATTGTACAGATATCTGTAAAAAGTAGCTCATGTTCCTTTGCCTTATCTCCTAAAACAACTGTTTGAGCTTACTCACACTTTTAGTGAAAATAATAAACATAAATTCTTTAGTGTTTCCCGTCCTCACATCATGTGAGTGTAAAGGCTGGCGGAAAGTGAATGCATTTCTGTGACTCGAGTAAAGGTGGTTAAAATGATTGCATTCAGGAAGAGGCTCATGAAGCAACATTTTCTTTCAAACAAAGGTTCAGTATTCTGCATTTTTTCCAGCTTTACAAATTTGTAAGGTTTTTAAAATACCTTTTTTGTTTGTTTACAAAGTGAAAATATTTGTTTACTGGGCTAATGACTATAAGGTACATTATCTGCAATACATGTGCTGATGCTTTACAGTTTTCCTCTTTTTCCAACCAACTCAAAGTTTTCATGAGGCCAAAAGAGGAAGCCAGTAAGACCTAGGAAGGAATTATTTGACATTTTTTGTATATGTGCTGTTCTCTTCCTTAAAGCTGATACAGGAAAAAACATAATAATTCAAGACAAAGGAGAACTTTCAGATACTTTCACATCTGAAAGCATCTACAATTCACCACTACAGGGGAAATAAGGCAGCAACAAAGAATAGTTAACTCCTCTCGTTGGTGTCACTGGAGATAAGCTCTGGACATGTCAGACTCTTTTATACTGATAGTGTTACACTTTAGTATTATTTGTTTTCAAATAGTGGATGAAAAATTATCATTCTCTGCAGAGAAAAGTTATGTTAAATGTTTATGTACTTAAACTGCATATGCCAAACTCAGGATTGATAGTATGAGATTCTCATGTTATCATTACCTCGAGTAGAAATAACATTATTTCAGGGCATCGTAAAAATATAATGGTAACGATTATTAACATGGTTGCTTTTATTTAAAACAGAAAAACAACAGATATCCCCCCTGCTGCTTAAACAATGCAGTATAATGATTATTACTGTATTAATGTCCTCTGAGTCTGACATTAATATATATTGTAGTAGTGGCTTTTAATCGCTTTTGGTAAATATTTTTAATGTCATTTCAGGCAATGGGGGCACTCTTTTAGTTTTCTATTCATCCAACACCCATTTTTTTTTTTTTTCGTAAGGAGAGTAAAGGTGTAGCAGCATTTTTAAGCCAGCTGATCAGCAGTATGCAGCAGCAGAAATCGTTGGTCAGCATTAGGTTTTTCTGTCACATCTCAATATAAGACCCTTTGTTGAATTGCTACGATTGATCAAATCACCTGTTCATAAGTCTTCCATCACATTGCCCCCTTTTTAGAGTCAGAGAATTTAGCCAAAAAGAAGAATCACCGACATTTTTGCCTGACAGCAATAAGCCAAAGGTTTATTGTCTAATCACGGCCTTGTAGTGTCAGTTTTTCTGCCTTTTTTCCAATTTCCATTGGTTGAGGATGTTCTCCTATGTATATGCATGTTTAAGAGCTCATTGCATACTCTTAGCTAATTTGGCAATTTAGGTACGTTTTGCAAATTGCACTAACTACCATATATGGTCCCTCTGATATTGAAATACATTAGGTACATATTGTTGCACCATTGATCCATTTACACACATATAAGAATGGTATTGATACACTCAAAAGCACATTGTCCCCAAAAAATGCCAAACAATTCCTTCAAAACCTGATTTATGTTACGATTATCAACTCGTACTGTACTGTGATATAAGCCTTATTTCTGATCGTTACTTGACCACCTCATTTCACTGAGACTTTTTCATGGTTCAGTGGGATGACAGATGAGCTCCATGTGTACAGCAATTACCCTGCGTCCCTATTTACATACTGTAGACGATAGGAAGAGAAAACACTAGAAAACCTGCCTGTTTGAACCTAAACAAACAACATTAAGTGTACATATTAGTTTAGTGCTTTTATCTAAAAGGAAACAAACTAAACTGGTTTTGATCATCTTGATCCATAAGTAATTTTTTTGTTTTGTTTTTATTTGAATATATTTTTAAGGCCCTTCTGTTTGGGTCTCAACATAACCCGCCATATTTGGTACTTGTGTATAATGATGTACATTTGACATATTTATAATGCAGTATGTAAATATCCTTTTTTTTGTGTGTTTGTTTTTGTTTATTATACCTATTGTATTTTCTTTACGTTGAGACATGAAACAAAGTAAAAGCTAAAGAGTGACATGTATGCTAGGATGCTTGGCTGACTCTTGAACTATTAATAAACACTCAAACAAAACATCGAAGCCTTCTCTGGATTTGGGGAGACTGGCGCATTTTTCTAGTCTTCTCTATTTGTTTATTGATTTTGTGCTCTTTTTCGTCATGCATAGATTAAAGAAACAAGGGTCTAATTCTACTCAACATCAAAATAAATTGCATAATGTTTCAATGTTATAAAGAAGCCAATTAATGCAGCGCTAAGTAATGTTCTAGTGGCGCTCCTCCTGCAGGTCCTTTTGAAGAAAGCACTATCATAAACAGTAATGGCCCTCTCCTTGCCCACAGTTATAACGCACCTTCACTTCCAAAGCAGCTGGAAGACGCATATCAAAACAAAATAAAGAGGTAGGTAGTGTTGTACATATGGTACTTAAAAGTCTAATAAAATTGCCAAATCTGCATCCATTTTTGCATATTTGTTTTTCTTTAAGGTCTCGTCACGTCGCCCAAAATCACTCTACTGCTTAGATGTTCATTGGTCAAGTCTATCTTAAAAGAATTTGAACATTATAGTAACCATAGACATCATATACGTAGACGCCTCATTGGGCGACTTGCCTACAGGGCGGCCATCTTGGATCTTACAACAGTTCAGACAGCTGCTGTCAGAATGAATGGGATGCAGCTCAGATCTCATTAAGGACGAGTCAGAGATAATATCACAATAATCTTACATGTCACAACCCCTTAGAAGACCAAAACAAATTCTAAAAATTACCTTTATGTTAGATTACAAAAATGTATTCATAATAAAAACTATTTAAACTAAACTGGATGAGATATGTAAAAAGTTATATATTTAAATATTAATATGATAAACACCAAGTTTTATATTAATATATAATAATATATTTTACAAATATATATTTATATAGTATATTACTATTCAGTATTTTCAAGGATGGCTCTCTGACAATGAGTATTATGATCTATAGTGGGAAATTTGTTGTAATGTGATTTACAAAAGAGAGAAATGTTATTTTTAGTTTTTTAAATTAATTTTATGTTTTTTTTTTGTAATTTTCAAGATTTTTTGTGAAATCATAGTAAATAATACATTTATGTTTTATTTAATGAAAGGGTTTTTATAAACTTTTTCCAAAACTCTTTTACAGACTAGTTTTTAATCATTATTTATGCATATGTGATAACCCTAACCAATGACCGGCGTACCTGACATGTCACAACCATACCATGCATATTGCTTTAGGTTTATATACTATATTAATCGGGCTATGTATGCTTCCCAAAAAAAAAAAAAATTCCTCCATCCCATTTTTTAACTGGATTACTGTATATAATATTATTTATATATATATATATATATA